CCGCCTCAACATCACTGTGGTGCAGGTGGGTACCGGGCCCCTGTGGGTGGACGGGCGGGTAGGGCTCCTTGGCTTCCAGCTTCTCCCAGGACAGATCTGGAAAGTGGCACCTGTGACAGCTGCACGGTCGCCTGGGCACAGCCGAGATAATTAGCACCAGCAGTGGGTGTTGGGGCGCTCCGTGCTGGGCCTCCTGCTCCAGGAGCTCCATCCAGGACGGGCAAGTGCCCGCGGCCACCCCTCCTCTCCAGTGGCATGGCCCACGGTCAGCCTCAGCGCTGGCATCACAGCTGGAACGTGACCGCAGGCTGTCAGCGGATGGTCAGGTGAATACCAGGTGCATGGTCAGATTCAGAGCTGACTCGGTCACACCAGCACGTCCTATGAGACCATATTTAAAGGGGTCCTCCAGTTCTTGCAGAACACACAGATGCAGCGAGAGAAAGAGAACCACGTGGACCTCATGATGAGACTGTGCAGGCGTGGGTCGCGTGGCCAGGGTCCTGGCACTGCCAGCTGGACGGGCTTGGCAGTGTCAGCCTTCCTGCCCACGAGCACGTGTGTCTGAGGGCATGTCACACTCACTGCCCACCCGGAAACCCTGCTCACCTTGGGCACGCTCCTGCCCCAGCCACCTCCCACGCCATCGCCCACATGCAGCCTCCCCCTTCTGGCGGGGCTGGGGACCGCGGGCGCTTCCACCCTGCTCTCAGGCCCCAGACCCACTGGCCTTGGAGATGGCCCTGGCAGTGCCACTCCTGTCTGCCCTCCACACGTGCTCACCCGCCTTCCGTGGTGCAGGCCCATGGGAGGAGCGCCCACCTCCTGGCCTCTGAGCCTGGTGTCCTGCCTCCCGCTGGAGGAAGCCCTTCCTGGCCTGGGGCCCACACGCGTGGGGCGGGCTGCCTCCCCCGGGCTCGTGGCTCGTGCAGCCCAGCTCCAGACTCGGGCGCAGGCCATGCGCAGGGGCCCCCAGTACCCACCCACACTCTGCAGGTGCAGCTCCAGGCCTCCTGCCTGTCACCCGCAGCACAGCACAGCCCCACCGCTCAGCCACTGGAGCATGGCCAGGGCAGGCACCCCACACGAGGATTCCTCACCAGGGCCGTCCTGCCGAGCCTGCTGTGAGCTCGGGCTGCCCCTTGGCCTCGCTGGCGCACACCTGGCCTTGCTCCTCCCCAGAAGGCCCCCTCGGCCGTCCTCCAGGCCGCGTTCTGGCTTGTGCTGGCCTTCCTGAGGGTCACTGAGCCGTGGTCACACTGAGTGATGTGCTGTGTGTTTGACGTGTGTCTCTCGTGTGTCACGGGAAGGAAGAGAGGCCTGTCCGTCCCTGGCAGTGTCTGCCATGCTGAGGTGGTCCCCAGGGTGCAGTCGTACTCAGAGCAAACAGTAGGACACATCCTCACGCATTCACTGTGCAGTCTCAGTGTAGCACGGTCGGCATTACCAAGCCCCTGCCTCGAGGGTCTATCCCAGTGCCCAGGGCAATGGGAGACGGAAAAGGTGGTGAGGGGCCTGCTGCCTTGAAGATGTGGTGGCCAGCACGGCAGGAGTGAGTGGGAATCAGGGATGTAGGGGACAGGGAGCGGGGGAGTCCACGTGCTACCCTGAGAGTCAGCTCAAAGCAGCTTGACCAGCAGGTCTTGATAAGTATTTTAAGTTATGGGTGAGAAGAAACAAAACATCCGAAAGCATCGGAAAACCAAACTATCTCAGGCTTTTCTACATACTTTCAGGAAAACGGGGAATTTCTAGGGAGTTTCGGAGTGGGGTGTGCACTCTTGGAGATGATCTGGCAGACCATGGGTGGGCAGCAGAAGGACGCTTGAGGCTGTCGGGGCACGGGGGCCCCAGAAAACCACTCTTGATGTTTCCAGGATGCACTCCAGCCACACTTGATGCCACGGTAGTCTGGGACCCAAGTGTGGGGATGTTTGGACAGAGAGGTCGCAGTGTTGCTTGAAGTGGAGGAGATGCGCTTTCACATGGACAGAGATGGAAAGCAGGGCCTGGCGGTCAGACCGCAGGGAGGAGGGGCCCGGGTGTGCACACAGGCTGCAGGGCAGGGGCAGCAGGTGCCCTGGGCCTGCTGACTGGGGAGGGAGAAGCTGCCGTGGTGTCCTTGGGGAGGGCCGCTGACGGCTTCATGATGCCCGCGCCCCTCGTCCGTTTCAGGCCAAGCTGGCGAAGAACTATGGCATGACACGCATGGACCCCTACTGCCGCCTGCGCCTGGGCTACGCAGTGTACGAGACGCCCACGGCCCACAACGGTGCCAAGAACCCCCGCTGGAATAAGGTCATCCATTGCACAGTGCCGCCTGGTGTGGACTCCTTCTACCTGGAGATCTTTGACGAGGTGAGGGCCTGCTCGGCACAGAAGCCACTGCGGGTTGGGAGCTGCTGTGGACGGGGCCTGCACCTCGCGGGGCATGTGATGGGGCCTGCTCTCCTGGGGATGGCACACCCTGAGCCCTCTGGGGACAGTGTGGGCACATCCGCACCCCCAGGTGCATCCAGGTGGCTTTCGAGGGCGTTGGGCTGGTTGCTGGGCGGACACTGTTCCGAGTGTGAGTCACAGCAGCTCCCGGCAGCGGCCCATGTGTGGACTGAGCCATGGGTGTGCCGCGGCCTCCCCGAGGGGCTGGAGGCTTGGGGGCTGGGGTGTGGCTGCTGGCCTGGTCCTCGGGGCCCCTCGGGCCTGAAACGCCGCCTCCTGCGGGATCAGAGTCCCGGGAGAAGCCTGGGGGAGGTGGCAGGCAGCACTGCCTTGCCGTCTCTCGCCTTCCCTGGCTCTCCTCGCTGCTCGTCCCTGCCCGTTGTCTGGCTCTGGATGGAGGCGAGGGAGTGCACGGCAGCCCGGCGCAGCCCTCTGCCGGGCTCGGGACCCTGTGCTGTGGGGCTGCAGCGGTGGGGGGCAGGGTCGGCTTGCGGGTGGGGGAGGAGCAGCTAGTGTCCTTGCCGAGACTGGTGAGGACAGCCGCCGGGGCATCCCCCCGTCCTCAGCCTCAGCCCTGCCCGGTCAGTCTCAGAGGCGGCAGAGACGAGAGGGGGATGTGATGAACAGCATGTGACGCCGCTGCCGGCGCGTCCCAGGGCGTCTTGCTGGTGGGCGTGGGCCCGGGGGGGGCGTGGTGGCGGGCGCCCAGCGGGTCGGGGTCCGGGCCTTCTGCAGCTGCCCCTCCCTCTCGTCCCCAGCGTGCCTTCTCCATGGACGACCGCATCGCCTGGACGCACATCACGCTGCCCGAGACGCTGAAGCAGGGCAAGGTGGAGGACAAGTGGTACAGCCTGAGCGGGCGGCAGGGCGACGACAAGGAGGGCATGATCAACCTCGTCATGTCCTATGCGGTGAGCGGGGTGGGGGCGTCACATCGCCCTGTGGGCGAATGGGGCGGGGAGTGTGGGGCTGAGTCATCGTGTCCTGGGGTGAGGGGGTGGCATCGTGTCTGTGCAGAGTCGGGGCCGGAGGGGTCTGGGCCCTCATGCTGCTCCGGCCCATGTTGCCTTTGCAGAAGCAGCACCACAGGCGGGTCGTGTCCTGGGAGGGGCCTGCCCTTGGGTGGTCTCCGCCGCCGGCACGGGTGTCCGCCCGGCCGTGCCGCCCACTGGGCCCAAGACCACAGAGGGACCCTGTGCCTGGGGCTCCACCTCAGGCTCTCGGCCAGACAGGCTCCTCCCCCGGGGCAGCTCCGGGCTGGTGCGCGGCCAGGTGTTTGGGTGGTGACGTCGGGGAAGGCCTGGGCCGCCGTCCTCGGGGTGGCAGCACAGGGCCTGGCCGAGCCGGCAGGGGGGCCGACATGTTGTGGCCGGTCTCCCGCCTTCTCCAGTGTGTCTGTCCTATAAAGGACACCACAGAACGTTGGTATTTGGAGTTTTTGCTGTGAAAACTTGGTGCAAGCATGGAAGAGGAGGGTGGCGAGCCCTGCGGGTGCTGGGGAACATGTCAGGGGAGTGCCCAGCAGGCGGGGACGCCTGGTGCGGGTGGGGGCGCTTGGCCCGGGGCACCTCTGCGGCCTCCTCTCCCGCTCCCCTTTCCAGCACTGGGAGGTTTCACAGCGAGGCCCGGCCCTGTGCGTGGTGCCAGGCCGCTTCGGCAAGCACGTGTCTTCACGGAGGTGCTGCTGTGGCACTGACCCTGACTGCCCTTCCTCAGACCCTGACTGCAGCTCACGCTTTGGGACGGAAGCCCTGGAGCATGGAGGCTATGGAGGCTTTCTGGGCCCGTGCTTGGAGGCCCTTCCTGAAGGCTGGGCCGGGTCGAGCGTCCTCCAGCTCAGTTCATTCAGGCGCTGACCCTCACTGTGAGGAGGTGGCACGGGCACAGGGCGGGGGTCAGGTGTCCGTGTGGGCACTCTGCACTCTCAGGTCCCGTGTCGGGACTCCAGGCTGGATCGGCGAGGGTGACCCTTGAAGGAGTAAGTGCTGGTGTGTTGTGTGTGCCTCCATGACCCCGGGATCGTCTTTGGCGTTTCAGTTGCTGCCGGCTGCCATGGTGATGCCGCCCCAGCCCGTGGTCCTGATGCCGACTGTGTACCAGCAGGGCGTGGGCTACGTGCCCCTCACAGGTGCGTGCTGCCCTCCCCTGCCGGCGCTTCTCGGCTGGGCTCCCGGGGGCAGAGAGCCAGCGTGGGAGGAGGAATGGGGCCTCGGCACTGGGTGGGGCTTTTATCTAGTTCAGAGACCCACGGCTTCCCGTGAAGGCCGCTGAAGCCCAGGAGCTGGCGGGACGTCTGCATTTCCCATGCCTCTGTGGAGCACAGAACTTGCTGTTCCGTGACTGTTGGCACCAGTTTCTGGGGACGTGGAAGGTAGCTTCTAAGCATCGTTGTGTCTCAGCTGTTGGACTGGACACTCAGACTCCCACCAAGGGAGCTGCCAATGCTGGGGCACAGTAGGCTCCCACTGGCCCGTGGCCTTCCAGGCCGCCGTGTTTTCAGGCCCTCGTGCTGCCCTCGTGACTTCCTCTTGAAGCTGTAGCAGCAGCCGGTGCTCTCCTGCCCCACCGTGAATAGCCTGGCACTGGGCGGAATGGCTGGCCCCACTGTTGGCTGGTGCTGACCAGCGGGCAGGGGAGCCTGCAGCCTGGTTCCCTGCCAAACTGAGCCCCCGGCTCCCTCCACGCTGAGGCCAGGGCCGTGGGAGTGGCCGAGTTGTGGGCAGGGCGTCAAGACGTGTGGGGTCACGGGAAGCATCCTGGGGTCTGCGTGGGCCCCGCTGCGCGTGTTCAGGGGCTGCTCGTGGCCAGCAGTGCGGGGATGCTGGTGTCCAGCCCACCGGAGGTGAAAGCCCTCGTCAGCACCACAGTCATGCCATCATCCATCCGACAGGGACGTGGAAGGGCGGCACAGGAGTCTGGACCTCGTCCCAGACCCAGCCTGATGGGGGCAGTGGGTTGGGAGTTTCCGGAGTCTACGCAGCGGTCCTCCATAGAGTCTGGGGTCTATGTGGTGGCCCTGCCTAGACATTGCCCCTGCACTGACTGAGGTGAAGTGACACACCCCTGACCTGAGAGGCAACACCAACCCTCACCTGTCAGGGCTGCCTGCTCTGAGAGGCAGTGACAGCCTGTCTCTAGCCAGCGGTCCCCAACCTTTTTGGCATCAGGGACTGGCTTCGTGGAAGGCAGTTTCTCCACAGACTGGGTAGGGGGTAGTTTCGGGATGATTCATGTGCGTTACACTTATTGTGCACTTTATTTCTGTTTTTACTAATCATAATGTGTAATGAAATAATGACACAGCCCACCACAAGTCAGTGGGAGCCCTGAGCTTGTCTTCCTGCCACTAGAGGTCCCCTCCGGTGGTGACGGGAGAGAGGGACACCCGCAGCGTGTTGCTTATGTCCAGTCTTCTCCAAAATCGCGTGTTGGCTGCTGTCACTGCAGAAAACCGTGCCTCACAAAGACAAAGAGAGGATGTTGGCCATAGAAGCTGTCTCTCTTTTTTTTTCTTTTGAGTTGGAGTCTCACTCTGTCACCCAGGCTGGAGTACAGTGGCACACTGACAGCCACCACAGCCTCTACCTACTGGGCTCAGGCAATCCTTCCACCTCAGCCTTCCAAATAGCACCACCATGCCTGGCTAATTTTTTGATTTACTGTAGAAATGAGGTCTCACCAAGTTGCCCAGGCTGGTCTCGAACCCATGGGCTCTGGCAGTCCTCTTGCCTCCACCTCCCAAAGTGCTGGGATTATAGGTGAGCGCCACCACGCCCGGCTGGAAGCTGTTTTTTCAGTGCTCATCTGACAGGAGGCAGAGCTTAGGTGGTGGCTGTGAATACAGATGAAGCTTTGCTGGCCGCCACTCACTTCCTGCTGTGCGGCCCAGCTGCTGGCAGGCTATGGGCCAGTACCTGTCCATGGCTGGGGACCCCTGCTCTCGGTGGTCAGAACGAAAGACAGGTGTCAGGTGGAGGAGGGGCCTTGGCAGAGGCATCTGGGAAGTGACTCTGTCCTGTGAGGAGCCTGTGGGTCCCTGAGTCCTCGGTCATGTGCCGGCCACCAGATCCCAGGCCCTCCCACTGCTACTGGGTCCTTGTTGAATATGACGCCTGCTGTCCATGGGAGCAGAGAGAGAAGTGCAGCCTGATGCCATGGCTCCGTGTTCGCATGGCCCCGCTGGGAGGGTCGTTCATGCTCTCAGGGTCAGAGAATTAATGAGTGCTCGAGACGGGTTCCAGCAGGAATTCTGCCCCCTGCAAGTGTGGCTTGGTCCTGGTGGCTTCCTGTTCCTGTTCGCCCATGCCTTCAGGGAGCAGCCCGCCTGCCGTGAGCGCCCAACCCTGCTGCAGCGAGGAGGACCTGAAGGCCATCCAGGACATGTTCCCCAACGTGGGTCTGACTTGGGAGCTGACAGCTGTTGAGGGCAGGGCCTGCGTGGCCGTGTGGGGCATGCCGGAGCCCTGCACGTTGTCAGGACGCCTATGCCCTCATGGTCCACTGCACTACACCAGCTGTCCCACTGCATTTTCCAAGCATTTTCTTGCATTGTTTTCTGGAGCACGTGTGTCGTGTTCCCTGTAGACTTTGCGTGAGTCTGGCAGAGGGTTCTGTGCCTGCAGGGGCTCTTCCCTGACCGAACACCAATACGGTGACACACTTGCCTGGCCGCAGAAGTGTGTTCTAGAGCCCGACCATGGAAGAGACGCAAGACTCTCCACTGTGTGGATGAGTCTCAGACGGGGATTTGCTCTGTGGCCTCTGGTCGGTGACAGTGAGGTTGGGCTGCAGATCTGTGAATTCTGAAGGGTCACAGTGTGTACTCCCTGCCCCCAGCCTGGCAACCGGAAAGTAGAGGCAGATAGGCTCGTGCGTTTTGTGTGGAAAGAAAGTGAGTTGGTCAGGAGGCGTCACGACAGGACTGTCACCCTTCGTGTTCGCAGGATCGGTGTCTCATGAGACCCGAGGGGGCCCCTCCGGTCGAGGAGGTGGTGGCGTGTGCTGTCGTCATCCTGGGCAAGGACGGGCACTGTCCTCGGGGTCCGGCGTTCTCACCAGGCCCGTCTTCTGCTTCCAGGGATGCCCACCGTCTGTAGCTCCGGCATGGTGCCCGTGGCCATGCCCTCGCCCGCCGTGAGCGCCCAGCCCCGCTGCAGCGAGGAGGACCTGAAGGCCATCCAGGACATGTTCCCCAACATGGACAGGGAGGTGATCCGCTCCGTGCTAGAGGCCCAGCGGGGGAGCAAGGATGCCGCCATCAACTCCCTGCTGCAGATGGGCGAGGAGCCTTAGGCCCGCCCACCCCGCTCGCCGCCCTGCTCCGGGGGCTCGCCAGCCGGGGCTTCCCCAGGAGCGCTGTCCCTCGAGAGTCCTGAGAGAGCACCTGTTCACCCCTCCTCAGACATCTGTCACCCGTCCACGCCTGTCCCTGGGATGCATGCGGATTTTCATCCCGGCAGCCGTCCGCACCGCTGGCGGGGGTGGGGAGCTCCCGGCTTCGCCCGGCGTCCGAGATGGCGGTGCAGGGCCGCATCACCCAGCACAGACTTCCCCTCCTGCTGCTGGGATGCAGCACGCCCTCTCCCTGCGCCAGAATGTTCCTGTAAAAGGCACTGCTCATGCTGGTGTTGAGGCTGCCAGGTGCCCTCCCCATCCACCCCTGCCATCGCGCCCTCTGATTAATTTAAGGCACGCAGACCCATTCTTGCCAATTTGTGGGTGGTTTATAGAACTTCCCGGCCGGAAACCCTGTCCTTCCCTTGCTGTTCTCTGCCGTGGGCCTGCCCCCAGGGCCTCAGTCCTGGCGAGCTGGGGGCTGGCCTCCTGCTGTCCACGGTGGCAGGCCAGACCTGCCGGCTCACCTGGTCCCGTTGGCCAGGCCTCCTGACAGACTCCGAGGCAGATGCAGAATGAGCCTGTCCTGTGCATGGTCGGGTGGGCTCTACCCTGTCACTGGCCAGCTGGCATCCAAAGCCAGGCCCCCTACCACCTGAGGCCATTGTCTGTCTACTGCTGTGTTCACGCCAACTCCCGGGGTGTTGCTCCAAGGAGGGTGTCTTGGGTTAGAAGCTGGGGCTTCATGGAGAGCGCTAGAGGTGGGGTGTGCCTGTATCTACTGGGGCGTGCGTGTCTGCGAGGGTATGTGTCTGTCTTCAAGGGGGTGTATGTGATGTGCATCTGCCAGGGTGTCAGGCACAGGCCAACCTGGCAGCGGCTGCAGTAAACGCCATGGGCGGTGCTGTGGTCCAGTCTGGGTGGGGACCTCTAGCAAATGTTAACCTGGAACCTTCCAGAGGCTGGGTGCCTGTGCCCGGTCCCCACGCACAGCGCCCCAGATGCAGGACAGATGAGGTGATACCCGGTTATAGAAACCAGAAGTTGGAGAAGTTACTCCAGCGTGATGCACTTTACCTGGCAGCCGTGTCCTGGAGACCCGCGTGCCTGTGGGTGTGGTCTGTGCCTGTGGGTGTGGTCTGCGCCCAGCTGCAGTCTTCTCGGTGCTGGCTCCCGGCCAGCCGGTGGGTGTGCCCTGCTGACGGGCCCAGGATGGTGCTGCAGCCGGGCTTCCGGATGATGTGCTGTTAGCTCCCTCTCCCCTGGAACAGGCTGCGCGTGAGTGTCAGCAGAGCGCTTGCTTCCTGCCGTGGGTGCCTCTTGTCAGCTGTGCTGTTGATAATGACTGAGTTTTGCACACCTGGCGCGTGGAGAGGCCATGGGGAGGCTGCAGTGGCAGGAGCTTCTGGTTGCGAGTCCGCGAGGTTTGCTCTCAGGACGAGGAAGGAGGACGTAAGTGTGTGTCTGGCGTTGTGGCCACTGGCTCTCGCCCCACTCGCTGCCATTTGTTCTCGGGCCCGTGGACAGGCCCTTCTGGGACAGGATGAGGGGGAGGCGGGGCCGCCCCTCCTAGGTGTTCTGCGTCTTGAGCAGACCGCCCAATGACGCCGTGGGCCTCGCTTGGGAGCCTTCTCTGCTGGGGTCGGCCTCCGGGCTCCAGGTCGGCCGGCGCCGGTTCTGCCTTAAGTTGCGGCAAGCTGATTCTCCCGGGCGTGGCTCAGAGATGTCTTCTGGTGGCCCAGGAGACCCCATGAGCACCGGTTGCGGGGGCAACCTGAGGGCAGGCGTGCGTCTGAGCGAGAACGAGCGGTTTCAGAGGACACGCCCACCACTGGCTCTTACTTTCCTTTTCACGAACATTTTATTTTTTATTAGTAAAGCTCACGTTTCCTAAGGCCTTTTGTTAGCTTCTTTCTGTGACATCATGCACGACTTCCCCACGTCAAGGCTCACGTGAGAGGCAGCGTGCTGAGGACCCCTCTGTGTGGCAATGCTGTGCCCTCCCGCCCCGTCCCCGCCTGTGTCTGACGTCATGCTGGGAAGCTGGGAAGGAGAGACTTGTGCTCAGCTCAAGAGCCGAGGCTGCAGCTGGCTTGAAGCCCATCTCCAGCCCTGGGGTGGGCCAAGCCTCCTGGGCCCTGCTGCCCTCGGCCATCAGTGAGAGCAGCCTGTGGGCATCTCGCACCCCAAGCAGGGCCCGGTGGCACAGCCAAGGCTGTGTGTCCTCTTCTGGCAGGGGTCGGTTGGTGGCATCGAGGCCACAGGGCATCTGTGGCCTCGTGGAACTTCTGGCCTCAGCCTCCTGTCCTGTGTTGGGGACAAGACAGTGTTCGGTTTACCGGGGTCTTCCCCCTGCCCACTGGGCCCTGGCGTGGTCCTTCTCCCCCACAGATACCGTCACTGCTGGTCAGGTGCCGCCCTGGCATGTGTTCTCAGAACCTTGCATCCTGAGGGTTTTCTTGGGGTCCAGTGTCCAGATTCTCCTTGATTGTAAAATATATTTTTACTTTTTAGCCTTCTAATTTAATAAATGATCCATACAAAATAGAGAAATAAAGTCCTTCATGGGAACGTTTGCCTTGTGTGTTCCCGAGTGTTTTGTGACTTGATCATGGGGTGCCGTCTCGGGAAGGTCACCGACAGCATCCATTCCGGGCTCCATGGAGGGAGGGGGCGTTGATGGCGTCCGCCTCGCGTGTGTGGGAGCCTCAGCGGTCGTTTCAGGTCTGGCTGTGTCGGGGTGGACCTCCTTGGCTCCGTGGTCACTCGGTCACTGCCGCCACCTACCCAGCTCTGCGGTGGCCCTTGCACCTTCTTGTTTAGACTTCGCCACCTGGGACCGGGCACAGACGCGGCCAGCGCCCTCTCCAGGAGGAGGTGGGCCCGGACGGCTCACCTTGGGACATGCCCGGCGAGGAGCAGCATGTCCTCACACGTGGGAGCCAAGCAGGGCGACACGTGCCGTCGTCTCCAGAGCAGACCCCGAGCACTGTCACACCCGCAGAGGCCTGGACTGGGGCGTCCTTGGACTCAGGGAGGAGGGACTCTGTCGCTGAAGCCCACCCCATCCCCAGCTGCGGTGCCCTTCCACGCAGGGCTGCTCTGCCCTCTGAGGCAGGGAGACCGAGGCTGCCTCCACGCAGGGCCGCCCTCTCCTCCGAGGCAGGGAGACTGAGGCTGCCGCCCCCACACGGGACTCCTTCGCCTCTGAGGCTGCCTTCCTCCGTGCCCTTCCCCCCCACACTCCTCCTCCTCCCTCCTCCTGTGGACAAGGGCCTGCACCCCGCAGGTGTTCTCCAGCTGCTTGTGGGCACCCGCAAACCCAGCCGGCGTGTGTGCTCAGGCCCACAGGCAGGGGCACCCTGGAGAGGCTTGTGGAATGACCCGATGGTAATCGGCTCCAGCACCAGCAGGGTGCACGGCGTGAGGGACTCCAGCCGCCCCTTCCTGAGTCGCCGTCCTTCCCCCAGATCCCAGGCAGAAATGGGAGCCCCCGGGCCCTCCTGGCACCCCGCCCCATGCTGAGGAAGCACACCTGTTTGTCTTCGTCCCTGTTATCTGAGCAAGGAGTGGACACCTTTGAAAGTAAGTTTCTTTTGAAAGTAATTCTAGAAGCGCATCTTTGTTTTTTGTTTTTCTTTTTCTTTGTTACTTAGTTTTTATTTCTCTGTAATCCAACTAGATGTGGAGGGTAATAAGGAAAACATGGAGCCCAAAGAACTGTAGCGAGAGCACAAAGATTATAGGGATACTGCGAGCAAACGGGATGGAGGGGGTGCTCATCTGAGCTACAGAAGGAATGATCTGGTAGTTTAAGATAAAACAAGTCAAATTTATGAGAGCGGTCCACAGTCAGCAATGGTGACCTTCTTGCTGGTTTTGCCATTCTTGGACCCAAAGCCCTCCACGGCTTGCACAACATTCATGCCCTCTTTCACCTTGCCAAAAACCACATGCTTGCCATCCAACCATTGTCTTAGTAGTGCAGATGAAAAACTGGGAACCGTTTGTGTTGGGTCCAGCATTTGCCATGGACAAGATGCTGGGACCTGTATGCTTCAAGATGAAATTCTCATCATCAAATTTCTCCCCGTAGATGGACTTGCCCCTAGTGCCATTATGGCATGTAAAGTCACCACCCTGGCACGTCAACCCTGGAATAGTTCTGTGAAAGCAGGAACCCTTATAACCAAATCCTTTCTCTCCAGTGCTCAGAGCACGAAAGTTTTCTGCTGTCTTTGGAACTTTGTCTGCAAACAGCTCGAGGGAGACGCGACCCGAGGGCTCGCCATCGACGGCGATGTCGAAGAACACGGTGGGGTTGACCATTTCTGATGGGAAAAGGCTCAGGGCGGCGGCATCCGCAAAGCCTGTTTTTATTTCTTTATTACTTATTTTTTATAGAGATGGGGTCTTGCTCTGTTGCCCAGGCTGGTCCCATACCTATCCTCAGGTGATCCTCCCACCTCGGCCTCCCAAAGTGCTGGGATGACAGACATGAGCCACTGCGCCTGGCCGAAATCGTCTCTGAACCGCAGACTTCTGCAAAGCAGTCTTTGTGGAAGCAGAACCCTGCGGCCAAGTTTTATTTGAACGTCCAAAAATTAGTTGGGCATGGTAGTGTGCACCTGTGGTCCCAGTTACTCTGGAGGCTGAGGCCAAAGGATTGCCTGAGCCTGGGAGGCGGAGGCTGTGGTGAGCCATGATTGTGCCAGTGCACTCCATCCTGGGCGACAGAGTGAGACTCCGACTCAGAAACAAAACAAAACAAAACAGAAAACACACCTCCCTTAGGAGAAAGTGGAGGAGTGAAACTTGAAAATTGCAACGCAGCTGTCACTACCGCAGCATGGGTTCTTCTCCGCTCTGCTTTTCTTGATATGACCTTGGCTTGCGATGATCTGGAAGACACTGGGGTAAAGCCCGCACCCCAGTGCAGGTGGGATGGGTGACGCTGGAGGCAGGTTAATGCCGAATCTGCCTGTGAAGACCCGCCGCTGCCCCTGGGCCCACCCTATGGCCATGGCTCACTGGTGGTGCGGGTGTGGGGCTCAGCCTTCAGTGCTGCCAGGCCGCAGACGGCCCAAGACCCCGCCCCCTCCCGGCCACCCCCGCTTCCTCCCCCAGCGCCTGGTCTAGGTCCCAGGATGGGCTGGAAGAGTTCTCAGGATCTAGACGGCTTCCGGTCACCTACAGGCATGTTAGCGGGGACATGAAGACTTGACCCTTGACCCCCAGGGAAACTGTTCATGGTCCCATGAACACCATGGTCACCCAGGTCACCCTGCTGGGACGAATCCTAGAGTGAAGGGAACACCCAGCAAGCGCAGCCGCTGCGTTCCAGGACGGCCCCATGACTCCCAGGTCACCGCAGCCCTCCACCCTCGGAGAATCGTGATGGCCGCTGCGCCGCTTCCTTGTTTTCAGGGTCTCTGTGTTTGCAGTTGCTGTTTTGAAGTTTGCGTCTGTGGGGACAGACGCTCCCACTTTTCCACCTGGAAGCCAGAAACCCCTCTCAGGCCTGCTGGAGTCTGGGGAACACCACTGTTCGTGTTCGCAGTGTTTGACTTCGTGGTCTCATGCTCTGGGCCACGGCAGAGCCTCGGGGTTCTGAGAGTGGACTTGGGCTGCTGGGCGGAGCCTGGCTTTGCTTCTTACTGAAACAGGCTTTTCCCTCTTTGTGCTTCAGTTGTCCCGGCTGTAGGGGGCACACACCAGCACCTCCGGCGCAGGGTTGTCAGGACACCTGTGGTGGCCCCGGCACAGGAACGCTCCTCGCGCGGGAGCCCTGGTCTCTGCAGAGCGAGGTCACGTCCCACGGGCCGGGACAACCAGGTCTAAGGACACAGCCACTCCAGGAGAGAGACCGAGGCTAGGGAACTGGCGTCGTTTGGCCTGTGGCTTGATGAAGACCCTGGTGGGGAGCAGCCTGGCACGGCCCCTGGGATCTGACTCAGACGCAGCACCTTCCTGCCGTCAGCCCTGACCACATGGTCTCCCGCCCCGACCGGCCCTGGGTGGGCCTGGCCCTGGGTGGCCCACTCTGCTGGACCTTGGGGCAGGGCAGCGGACAACCACAAGAGAACCAGGGCCCCCTCACTGACCCCCAGGATGGGGGCGCTCTGTAAATGCAGTCGCGCCGGTTCCTGCGTGGGGCAGGCCAGGGGAAGGGCCCCTCCCTCCCCAGCCAGAGCTTTTCTTGCCCAGCACGGCCCTGCCTCCCCAGGGTGCCTGGCCTGGAATTGCCTGTGCCCCCCCCAGTCCCGGGGCTCCCTGGTCCCTGCTTTGTGTGAAATGCTCCTGCTTCGGACAGGGCCGTGGGCAGGAGAAGCCGCAGGCCCGCGCTCATGGGCAGAGGCAGGAAGGCCCACGTGACGAGGTCACTCGTGGCAAGTGCCCCGAAGAAAGCTCACCCGGGACAGGCAGGAGGCGGCCCTGCAGGCCAGCACCCCACCGCTCCCGGGGCTCCCACCACGCCGTGGGCCTGCCCGCGCTCTCCGGGGGGCAGCGCCATCCCTCTGGCATGCCTGGGCGCCGCCTGCCCCAATGGCTCCTCAGTCTCCTGCTTGAAATGTCCCTCTCTCTGCAGCCCCATGGGAAATAGTCGTCGGGCACTGCTGGTCTTCGCTGGCCCCTGGCCGCCGTGCCCAGAGCCCGAGACCGGCCCCAGGGGCATGTGCATGACTGAGTGGTTCTATGTCTCTGCCCGCCTGTCCCTCCCAGAAGCTTTCTGGCTCCTCGGTCCCTGCTGGGTCCGGCACTGGCCCAGGCGGCTGTCCACCGAGGAAGCGGAGAGCCCCGGACGCCACGGCGGAAGAGACACCAGGACAAAAGGTACACGCCATGCTCAGGCTTTATTTGCAAAACAGCTGGGTGGGCAGAGGTGCCTTGGGGGCTGGCCCCTCTCCGACCACTGTCTTGGCCTCATCCCAGGTCCCTGCCACGGGCACAGACAGGCGGCCGCCTTCCCCTGGTGGTGGCGGGCCATGCCGGGATTGGTTCTGTCAGCCCTCCGGCCTCTGGAGGCCAGTGGGCTCCAGGGTCCATGGGGCTCTGCACAGCAGGATGGCAGGAAGGGGGCGGGTGGGACAGTGCTTCTGTGAGGGGTGGGGCCTGAGCACAGGGCTGGTGGCCAAGAGGGGCCTCGGGGCCCCCGAGGGCAGGACCGCCGCAGCGCCCTCCACAGGGGATCCAGCGTGGAGCCCCAAGGAGCCACAAGCTAGGGGTTCGCGGAGCAGGCCCCCCCCAGGCTTGCGTGGCCAGGCCTCCAGGCGGAGGGGGCGTGGTGCGGGGCAGGACGTGCCAGGCAGCCGTGACCCTCTAGGCTGGGAAGCCGGGGGTGTCTGTGGGAGCCGGGGATGCGGGGAGGCAGGCGGGCACGCAGCCGCACTCGTCCACACGGGTGTAGGTGTGCAGGATGGCCGTGCCATCGGGACACCGCAGGGACACGGCCTCCTCGTGGGTCCGCCTCTCCTGGCAGCAGGTGCACCGGTGCTGCATGGCCTGGGCCTCCTCCGAGTACCTGCAGGCGGAGGGCTGCTCTCAGGCCTGGCCCCCAGATCCAGGGCCTCTGTCCACACCGTGGGCCTCCAGGGTCCCCGCCCATCCCCACGTGGGGCTTCCCCTTGCTGGGTTGGGGCGGCGCCTCGGGTGCTCAGGGTCACTATGCGCCCTGCTGTCTTCCGCAAGCCAGCTCCTCCTCGGCGACCCTGCGCAGACCCCCTCTGGGGAATCACCCCCAGGCCTTCGAGCCAGCCCGGAGGCTTCCTTCTGCCTCTCCCGCCCACATCTGGTCACAGCAGGCGATAGCCAGGCACCATGAGGGGTCCACGGAAGGCTCTGATTCTGCCCCAGGTGGACACCCTGGATGTGGCCCGCAGCCATGGTCCCTGTCCCCTGAGGCCCTGGCCGGCTGGCCCTGGCCTGGCTGTGAGGGCAGCTCAGGCTTTTGCAGATGGACGGGGAGGGGTTCCTGCAGGGAGCCCCTTCCCTCCCCTGGCCCCGAGTGTGGCGGCTGGGACAGGCCAGCGAGAGCCTGCCCAGGCAGGAGCCACTCACTTGGACGCGCCGGGGCAGGAGCCCTCGCAGAAGGTGATGTTGACCGCGGCCTCGGTCACACAGCCCTGGTGCCGCAGGATGGTTGTGTTGACGCGGACTTGGCAGGAATCTGGAGGAGAGGTGGGAGCCTCACTCCTGAGGACCTGGACCCAGCCCCTGGCAGTCGCGGGGCATCCCCTCCCACCGCCCTCCGGAACTCGGCGGGGCCTGAGGGCTTGGGAGGGAAGTCGGGAGGGAACCAACGGGCAGAGACGAGATGGAGCTGGAGCTGGGGCCGAGAAGGAAGGCTGGCCTCGACTTACCCACTTCTTCACAAGAGTAGCAGCAGCCGGTTTTCCTGAGGATCCCCTGCCAAGCCGCAAGAGGGGGCGGGGCATCAGAGGCAGGGCCTCCTGAGTGAGGGGCGGGGCCTCCAGGGGCTGGGCGGGGCCTCCAGGGCTACGTGGGACCTCCCTGGGGGGCCTCTGGGGCAGGGAGGAGCCTCCCAGGCATGGGCGGGACTTTCTGGGCGGGGCCTCTCTGTTGTGTGGGGCCTCCCAGGCATGGGTGGGGCTTCCCAGGGCAGGGCCTCCCAGGCAGGGCCAGGGCTTCTCCCTCCCGGCACACACCCTGCAGCTGGACACGTCGGGGCAGGGTGCGGGCTGAGGGGTCAGCACGTGGAGCCCGTTCTGGGCCTCGCAGTGGTACTCGGTGCAGTTGTCCACAAGGCTGTCGACCCAGGTCTCGTTGGGCTGGAATTCGAGGTACAGAGTGGAGGCGGGGTGGGCGCCTCTGGGCGGAGCCTGGTTCGAGGGGTGGGCGGGCGGGGCTGAGCCCAAACCCCACAAGGCTGCTGTTGGTACCTGGACGATGCGGCCGTCGGGCGTGAGGCAGGCGGGCGGCACGCACCTCCCA